TGTTCAGTGCTGAGAGGAAACCCTTGTAGTAACGGTTTGCAGACATTCAGCAGGTGGTAGAGCTGACATGTTTTGGATTCTTGCAGCAGTGACTAGTTCCTCAAATAGATACCTCCAGTTATTATACATGAGATTGTCATGGGCTGGCAGAGAAACAGTGACTCACTGAAATAGATGGAGCAGAGTTGTACAAGAGTTTCCTGAAACAGTTTTCTCAAGGAGGAGAGGCGGGGGGGGCCTAAGTAGTGGATTTTTACAGTTCTTTTTACCCATAATGCTCCAGAATGTGTTAGAAGAACATTTCGCCTCCCTGCTCATTCTGTTTTCATTGATAATCACGTTGTCCTTAATGTAACTGTGAGAGCTTGCTACATTGTAAAGTTTACTGTTCTTTGATCCTCCAGGATCGCTGTCTCAGCTTCCATAACAAAATATCATTAATAAACAAACGCTGCGGCCGCTTTTATGGTAGTAAGTCTGCCTAGCACGTGGCGAAACTAGCGCTTATACCCCTCTGGAAGCATTCTGAAACTTTAGTGCTGAGAAACAAGGAAAAGGCATTAAGGCAAATTGTTAAAGGGGGCCGGGGAATTGTGAGAGGTGTCTGGGGGGAAGCTTATTAAAATTCAGTGCTAAAAGTCATCTCGAAACATTAGACGGGGAAGCAGAAGATTATTCCTGTAAACAAACAAAATAAAGTATACTCCAGAGGGCAAGGGGATTTCGTAGTGGAGTTTAATTTGTGGCATGTGGTAACCAGAGTTTAGGATAGGTGCCATTATTGGTTGTGGTATCAACATGTGACAGCTAGAGGAATTCACTGGGGATTTACATGTTTAGATATGAAGAAAAGAGCAAGTGACCTACTGGGACACTAGAGAGCCGTCTGTTCTCATGGGGACAGCTTTCACTAGCAAGCTCAGCGCTGGGTAGGAACCATAAATTCACTGACCCTTTGAAGGTTTTATTATCCAGCCAGATTACAGTACACGTGAAATTTAAGTGTATAGAAGGGTCAATCAAGCTGCCTAACAAGCAGATGGGCATACCAGCTACAGCGGAGTGGCCAAATCGAAGATGAAAGAAATCGTGTTATTTAACCTTGTAAACATTTTCTGCTATTGCAGATTAAGCGCTGGAACAGTCCAGTTCATTACATCCAACTGGTCATCACAAACTTTTTATAGTGTACATCAATTATTTAAATACTGTTTTAATATGATATAATTCAAGAGAAGCTGTTATAAAATAAAGAAAAATGCTAATTTGCATCCACTTTCCATAAATATATATATATATATTTTTAGTTAATTCATTAAATAAAAACAGGTATACAATATCTATTTTCATACTGTATAGATGTTAAGTTTATTATTATATATTATTTATTATTATTACTGATCATATTATCTAAATCCTGCACATTCATTAATTACTTTCTATAAGTACATTTAAAAAAATAACAATAATACAAAAATGAATGCTTAAACTTTTGCTCATCAAATAAAAGCAAACAGTTTTGCTACAAAACACATTCCTAATTCAGAAATAATAATTTAGGAAATTATATCAAAATATATTTGCAAGTGTTTTGTAAGTGCAGTACATGGGGCTGAATATATTGAACTGATATGGTGGGAAAAAAAATTAAGTGACAGAAAAAGCAATAGTATATGTAGGTTTAATAATTCTATTATACTTTAATTAGAATACTTGTGCACTGTAAAAAAAAACAAAAAACAATTTCGCACAGGACACAAAATATACACATTCCCAAAGCTAATGTTCCATTTTGGAATGCTTTTGTTCCTGCATGTTCTATTTGCAGTTAATTAGTTGATGTGTTTATCAGTGCTTACTTGTGGTTCTGACCCTTGACCCCGGCTCATTTATTTATTATTTTGTTGTACATGGAGTATCAAGGTCACTAAAACGTGACTTAGGGTGAAAATAGCATGCTCAGCAAAGCGTGGCCACAGATGTAACTGGGAAACAACTGAAATAAGTTAGATAATATTTAAGAGCTAACTTCAGAGGTAATTGGAGCATTGAGAGGTTTAGAACATACGTTTAATAATATGTGGAAATAATGCTTTGCCTTATGATTGTAATAAGCTGTTGGACCATAATATATTTGCCTAAGTGAAATTGCTATTTCAAGATTGACGTATCCACTTTAATGGTGTTGTCATCCGTTTATAAGCAATAATTAATGATTTAGCTCCGTAGCTAATGTTGGAGGAACTTTTTTTTTTAAGTAGTATTGTGCAATAACTCATTTGCTGTTCATTTGTTGTTCCAGGAATGTATTGTCTAATGAAGAAAAAAGTAAACATTCATTGGCAAGATTTATGTTTTACCTCCTTTTGGAGTTGTCTTTTTTTCTGGGTAGTTGTAGAGTAGAGACATACAAATGCAGGTGGCAGTTATTATTTAATTATTGTAATGGGATTTTTAGATGTTCAATGCAGCTTACACCATTCTATTTTGTTATCTTCCAGCCAATTACGTAGATAGAAGAATAGCAAATAACAAACATTTATGTATTATTTTTATCCCTTTTTCAGTGATCAGTAAACTTTGAATGTGAACTGACCTTTTTTAATTATGCAATACAATATATATTCTACATATGAACTATATATATATATATA